AGCACATTTCCATCTAACAATAGAAGGCTTTACTCCTAATAAATATTAGCCAAGTGCTTGTGTGACTGAAGGTTTACAGAAGTTAGAATCAAATTTCTGGAAGTCAAGGATAAAAAAACACAGTGGGATGGATACAGAACACCTACACCTCTAGTGTTCTAAGCTTATGCCAGAATCAATTTAGAATACCAGAAACCACCACGTTTGGCTCTCTATTTGAAATGCATTCAATGAATTGTGATTTGGTTCTATATTCTTAGCTTTAAAACCGATATAGTAACGATACCTCAAGCACAACTTTGCTACTTTCTGCCAAACCGCTGCTCAAATAATTGATTGTTTTCTTAGTCTATGCCCTTTATACCTCAAGGATGTCCTTCTTGTGTTCTTTCAGTTTATCAGAATGATATACTCCACCTTGATTTTTTTTTAAGATTTGAATTTTACATAATCTCTACACCCAATGGGGTCCTTGAACTCTCAATCCCAAGATCAAGAGTCACATGCTCTACCGACTGAGTCAGCCAGGTGCCCTTATACCACCTTGATTTTTCTTTTGTTTTGTTTCTGTATTTGGTTTTGTCTTGCTACTAAGAAGAAGGTCAGAAATGCGTCCATGCTCAAGTACAATGACTGTTTCACTGCAGGTTCCTGCTAGAATGATCTCCTCTTGCCACTCTGACTGCTGATATGTCTCTGACTTTATCTTAATTGTCCTCTGTGTTTTTATTGTAAGTAGCATCATATTCTTGTTAGACAGGGGATAGGATGTAAATCACCAATCACATCGTGTGCTCTAAGCACTTGAACAGTGTTGGCACTTGGCAGGTGCTCAGTAAGTATTTGCTGGATGGGTGGATGGATGGATGGATGGATCCTAGAAACAAACTGAATTTTACTTTTCTATAGCCAGGAGTGAATGGCCACTGAGGGGAGGGTTAGCTCCCTCTCATCCATGAAAAGGGCACTTCCCACTGGAGGCCCACAGCCATGGATTGGATAGAGGATGAGGAGTGTTGTTAAATGATAATTGTATCGTGTATTTCTGTAAAACCCTGCCATCTGAACGAGTGAACATTTACATGTTCCAGGATTCCCCCAGTGAGTTCATTGGTCATGTCATTTCTAGCCTAGCACTGCACGACCAGAGCTAGAGGGTGGAGTACAAAAACCACCTGAAAAGAAAGCTCAGTGCACACAAATCATGTGTTTTGAGCCAAGTGCAAACCTCTTCATTTGAAAGACTTGAGGGGCGTCTGGGTGGCTCAGTCGGTTAAACGTCTGACTCTTGATTTTGGCTCAGGTCATGCTCTCATGGTTGGTGAGTTCGGGCCTCATGTTGGGCTCTGTATTGACCATGCAGAGCCTGCTTGGGATTCTCTCTCTCTCTCTCTCTCTCCCTCTATCCCTCTATCTCTCTCTCTGCCC